GGAAAATGCCAATGCTTTTTATTGCTTGCCAATAATTTCCATCACTGTGAATTTCACATACTTGTGAGCTTTTAACTAATACTGGTTGTCCATTATACATATCCATTGTCACAAGAACACGTCTTTGATTCTTACCGCGTACATCTAACCATAATTCTCGTGAATTATGAGGAATTTTCAAAGTATTATTTGCTAGTAATTGATTAATTTCTTGCGTATAAAAATAAGTATTATAATTTAAAAGTTCTGTTTCATGAAATTTATTTTTCATAAAATAAGCAGTAAATATAATATTGAAATCATTCCATTTCTTCATGATTTGCTCACGCGATGTTAATCCACCGGCTCGCCATATGTCTTTATCGAATTTATTTTGACTATTGTCCATCGCCGTTATTCTCATACAGTCTTGATTTACTTCGCTCCAAAATTGTTCGCCTTTCTTATCAAGCATAAAACAAACATCTTTAATCACCAAATTAACACGCGAAAAATACGACTGAATGACCATAAACATTTTTAATACCGATAATTTTACTCGTTTAGTATTCATTACATGAGTTAATAGATCTTCAGTAATATTCTTATCACCAACCTAAAATAGAAAAGATGTTCTATCATCTCTTGCAGTTTATAGGTTTGTCTTACGGGCAAAGCGTATTGTTTATTTGTCAATATTTTCTTGAAGAAGACTTCTTTTCCAACAGCTTCTTCATATATATAATAGTATGGATTTCTATTTAAACATTTCCGCGTTGTCGGAGATATATGATTGGGATTTCGCCAATCAAATCTAATATAGGGACCACATAAATACTCGCCATTTTGATTTGATAAGACAATTTCTTCATTTTCCAAAATATCATAAAACGAATTTTTATCCGTACCTTCACAGTATCGTTTGACAATAATTTCTACTGGTGGTATTTCATCAATGAAGTTGCTCACTATGATGCCATTGCAATTAATTGACCGATAAGAATGATTCAACCCGTTACGCCACATCATTTCCAAAAATAATTGAGAACCACATGCACGAACTGAACCTGAAATATGTCAACAAAGATTTGCATGATGCACATGTACAGATATTTTTTTCTGAACACTTAAATAACTTTATCGTACAGAGTTAGAGTTAAAAGCAAAATATTATGATTTTCTCAAGATATTTATCCGTCAGATTGGATTCAATGCACAACAATTTGATAATTAGAACTGGCTTGTCTGAAAAATACTTTTTTTTTAAAACTAAATCATGTCTCTAAGTTAACTAATTATATCAAACGAACAATCTTACTTAAATTGCTAATTTCACCAGTAACTTGCATTGAATGAGAATAGATTGTGGATTTTAAAACGATGAACGCTAAATGCATCGTATATGGATTACCGCTGACATCCTTGTAAACTTTTTTTGATTCACCTTCAGTAACAAGTCTCAGAAGTGTTCCTACTGCTGGTAATTCATAATCTCCAATCTTAACGATATTTCTCCTGTGATCAATCTCTGGCAGATTATTGTTCACATACCATTTGATAAATAATTTACGCTTATCAATATCATCAAATTCATTTGCATATTCAGGTAAATGTGTGATCAGGTCAAAATCATACGTATTCAATATTCCATAAAGTTTATTTTCAACGTCGCGTTCTTGAATAAAATCATAATTTAATGTTTGAGTACCCATTCGACGATATTGCCGGTAGTACTCTGAATATTTTTTAACCACATCAGATACTTCGTCCGACACTTGTTCCACCGTTAGCTGTGTTGTATCAATAAAGGGTAGTCCAAAATGAGCACTTAAATGACGAAAACGTTGTTGATAATAGCTTAGCGCTTTTCGTGTTTCGAATAAGCCTCTTGCAAACTTTGTTTGAATTCGTTTTAAAATTGTGTCAACTTCACAATCTAAGACAATCCAATAAATCTGCTGTTCCTTAACAGTTTGATCGAGTAATTTGATTTTATTAAAATTTTCTTCATCAAAAGTATATTCAAATATTAACTTGTTAATAGCACTTAGATCGATTTCTAGCTCTTCACTGCTGCGATTGATGGCAATAATAGTATTATCATTATTATTGCTGTTGTAGTTTATAAATTCGCAAACACTTGATTTGCCACAGCCAGTATTACCCAGTAAACAAATGATTTCGCATTTTCCCATTATCGGCAATGCTCTGGAAGCAGTTGCACAAGTTCTCTGTTGAAAATCGTGTAACTGATTTGTTTTTATCTGTAAAATAGAATTCTATGTTTAAAATAGTTGACTTATTAGAAATTAATTTCAATTTTTTCCCGGCAAGACTAGGCCAGAAGTTAATCTCGATCAATCAGTTCTATGGCTGCCATCTATTAGTACAAGAAAACCGTTCTAAAAAAAGGATCTACACGCCCTAAAACAGACACAATGAATGAAAAAAGCAATAAAAGCTCACTTGAAAACAAATGTCTCCCTAAGCGTGTAACTCGCACATTTTATTGCGTTTCATACGCGTTATAGACTTTAAAAAATGTTGTTCTATTTCAAACTTTATGCTTACATACCACGATAATAGGCACGTGTGGCTTCTATAAGAACATTGCTTTCAATGAATGTTTTAAACTTACTTTCACGCGTTTCATTTTAGAATTAAGCAGATTCCATAGAGAAAAGAAACAATCCCACATTTAACGATTAATTGAGAATCTTGCAAGACTATTTTAGAATTATTACATCTCCCTACAAAGAAAAACATCGATGTATAGCTGGAATGGAGTTTAAGCTGTTACTCAGTAGTCCTAGCTAATTGTCAGCACAAGTTTGAGTTATATCTTTTATCTTTTAGAGTCAAAAAAATCTACACCTAGATACAAACTGGACGAGCTAATAGTTTAAAAATCAGAATGTAACCTATTAATATTCCACATCGTCTACCCTAATCGAAATATTTCAAAATGTATTTAGAAAAAGGTTTTCGAATGTAGCGAGATTTCATATTTCTAGGGCGTTTCAATATTTTGGTTGCTGAGGTCAGACAGGTAAAATACATTGAGGGATGTCATAATATCCACAACTTGGGTATCGAGATGAATACCCAGATAGGATACCCAGTTGGATGGATATCTACGTATCCTCAGAGCTGAGGAATTTGAGTGCATTTGGTGTAACGAG